TAATAATAATAATAATAATAATAATAATAATAATAATAATAATAATAATAATAATAATAATAATAATAATAATAATAATAATAATAATAATAATAACAATAATAATAATAACAATAATAATAATAATAATTAATAATAATAATAATAATAATAATAATAATAATAATAATAATAATAATAAATAATAATGATAATAACAATAATAATAATAATAATAATGATAATAATAATAATAAATAATAATAATAATAAAATGTCAATCAGTGGTCATCAAAAGAAAGTATTTTCTTGAGCAGCGGATGAGGTATTATTAACAATGAAGACAGAACAGATAGTAAAAAGAGATGCTAATAATAATGAACTTACTCAGTCTCCTCTTCCGGGATTTGTTCATGGATTAGCGGACTAGTTTGGGCATTTATGTCAAGTTGTGATCGTCGCATCGGCCAAGTATTACAACGATCCCTAGAAACCGGTCCCAGATCTTCTTTACCTGCGGCATTAGTGCCTTCCACTGGCATAACTCCAGCTGGTCCTAGTCCAGATGATGACGATGCTGATGAGGATGATGACGGGATAGACTCCATAGGTATGATACTATTATTAGCATCGCAGACGCCACTACTCCTTCTTTCATTGTCACCACCATCGTCATCACCTTCAAATCGTCCACAGCTCGTTGTTGGGATGCCATTCGACGCCACCATATAGCAATCACCAATCGTAACGGCGTTCTTAGCTGCAGCGGTTTTAGTAACCGTTACAGAAGCACCACAATTACCAGAAGATGCTGATAACATTTTCTTTTCACCCAAAACGCAACTTGATCAGTACTAAGCGTGAAGCGATGAAGCCAAATCCGAGCAGCAGGGGAAACCCAAGAAAATACAGTACACACAAGGTATCCGAATAATATTCCTTTCGATATGTTTATGAAAGGAAAAATGATCGATCACTTAGAGCACAAAATTGCAGGTAGCCACAGCGCCTTTAATCTGTTAAGAAATTAAGGTTTAGCGTGAAGAATCCAAAATGTGAAACATCTGAGAAATAACGAAATGAAATGAAACGAAATGTGCCGAAGAAATTCATAAATTAATACAAATAAAATCACTCGTCAAATTCAACTATACCAAGCAACTGTATTGCAACGCTTTTCGTTATGGGTTTGCTCGAGATTCGAGTTATAAGCGGTTGGTCACTAGTTTTAAATTAAAGATTAAACTTCATAAAGATTAAACGAAAAACTGAACTTTATAATGAAAACTATTTCAACAGCATAAACTTAGTAGCTTCAAAAGTAAATCCCTGATTTTATTCACGTTGCAAAGTTGAGATCCAGAATTACTGAGAGCAGCAAGTTTGAAATGATTTTAAAATTCGAATTAACTGTTAGAAAGCAATTCCCTAATTTGTGAGGATCGTTCCGTTCTACAATGGAAATTCAAAAGTCAAAATATTTTGAGAAAAATTTATGCTAATTTCTAATATAAATTCCCAACGTTTGGTGAATCGACGGCATTGTTATGTGACATAATCTATAAAAGAAACAAAAATAAAAACTGGTATCCGAGGAACAACACATGATTTCACAAAATCGCAAGAAAATCACAGTTAATCTTAACTTATATTTTATGTATTTTGTATTTTTATCCGTAGTTAACTTATGCCAGTATTTCATTAAGTTCACCAGTTATTGTCAAGGACAACAATGAACTGGGAACATGACAAAAGAAATTACTGCTTCTATTCGATTATGAAGAGAAAAAATCTCGCGTAACGTAATGAATAGCAAAAGAAAGAACAGTTTCAAATCTCACGTCCTATGCCCTAAAGTATTCACTTTGACAAAGTGTGTAATTAATTTTAGAGCATATTCATGTTAGGATGCGCAGCCTAATTTCTCAAAATTTCAACAATGTGTATGGAAAAACCCAAAATCAACAACAATGGTTTTCTGCTGCAAACAAATCGACTGCAACTACATATCCATCATAAGTGATGTAATTCCATCCATGAGGATCGTCATGAGCAAATCTCATCATAACATGCTGTAAAATAGTTGACAAGAAATTTATTTCGGCATCACTGTGTTCAGTAGCACTTGTTACATGAGAAATTTGAACGGAATTTCTGAAGCCAGGGAAACAGCAGAGGCTCAACCGCATCTTTTCCACACCAGCACTATTAATAATTGGTTACAGTGATAAGTTCATTTTATCTGACTCGGTTAATTATTAAACAATGGGACAGTCGGTGTTCAGTAGAAACGAGTGATAATGAATGAAAATGTTGTTTCACACCACGGTAAAAAGAAGTGAGTGTCACATATCAAGGGTTGGAGAAGTGAATGTCACATATCACGGTAAAGAGGGAACGTCATTCACCGGATAATATCATCATAAAGCATGAAGCATCATACGATGTGATGCTTCCTTCTGCTAACGATATAATTTAATCTTATGGAGTTCTAGCCTAAGATATATATATATATACGGCTTTGATAGCTCGATCAACTTAATACCAATAGTTTAATCCTTTAGCAGATAAAGAAAAAAAGAGATAGGAATAAATCTTCAACAAAATGAATTAATTACATGCTGTTCTTGACGAACAAACGCAGTAAAGTGAACAGCACGCATCAAAATTTCATTTCGGAATATTAGAAGCAGTAGTGTGGTTGGATGTTGGATATCGGGAAGTGTAAATGTTTCTAAGTAACTTTTAGAAGGAAAAAACTACAAGCAGTTGCTTTCCCTATTCCGAAAAACTTTCTGGGAAGAAAATGAAATGGAGAGTAATGAGTAGGTAAAAAAAGCAAGAAACGATCCAGCAGCACATCAACTACACAGTGAATCGTCGCCTGGAATTTTTTGTGAAAAGTTACCTGAGAGTCGGTATGGACAAACAAACATATGTGCGCTACTCCGATGGAAGCGAAGGGGAAGAAGAACCGGTCTGAAGCCCATCAGATTCGAGTGACGACGTCTTGATGGTGACGATAGTGTCGATGATGACAGGTAACAACGTATGAGCCAGCCACACGTCAGAAGTAGCAGAGAATGACAGAAGGCAGCTAACAAGCAATACCCTCCTCGCCTGCTTCCCATCAGCTGACTGGATGACTGACTGACTGACTAACTCGCTGACTCACTGACATTGGCATGCACACCTCGTTGAAATTGTTCAATTTAAATGGAAACGACTCCGCGAGATATCCCGTGTAGAATATATATATATATATACATATA